CCCCCAGCCCAGCAGTGGTGTTGTATTAGTTGTTTAGACAGCAGCACTACAGAAACGTGTTTTCAGCGTGGATGTCAATTTGGAGATGTGTCAAGAGCTAAGAGAATACACAAGCAGCATGGCTCTGTCTGAAAGAAGTGCGCCTAACAATACTTCCTGGGTGCTGGTTCTCTGTAATGCTTTTCTCACTCTTAAAAAAGTAAAACGTTATCTTCAGTGAGCAAGGAGCAACTTAGGACAGTACATACGTCTTCCTACGGGTGGTGTTTTTTTTTTTCCAGTGAAGTTCCCATTTTTAGCCAGGTTTCCATGCAGTTAGCATTTCTGGAAATACTGTATTTCAGATGAGAATCCCCAAGAATAAGAATTGTCTATTTTACTACTTCAGTGACTAGTCTGCTTGCCCTTGCAACCATGGATACATTACTGAGGAGCTGGGTTTATTTAGTTTGTTTCCAGTTCTGATATCAGTGAGCGCTTCACGCACTTTTAGCAGGTACCTGTCTTCATTTATGTGTAGCTTCGTGGGGCTATATAGTGAGCATGTGTGATGGGACTGGTGCATAAAGATAATGTTCTGGTGGTAGTTATTGCCTGTTAGAGGGGTAGCACTTAATATGCATTAACTCTCTTAGAAACTTCTGCTTTGTTTTAGTAATGATGCTATTTAAAAAGCTGATTAGGAATGACAAGATTTTTGTTTTCATTCAGCATTTCTGTTGCTCTGTGGGCTGTTATTGTCACGATTCCCCTCTAGGAATTTGTTGCAGTGTGATAGTGCAGGCGTTGTCCACTCAATGAGGCAGAAGCTCACCAGGCTGCAGCTGCAGGGTTCCCCCTTCTCCTTACCCCAGTGGGACTGGAATGGGGGATGTAGCTGGGAGGGGATGGTCTTTTTCTGTTGTGTTCCAGCCCCTTCTTCCTTGAGTCCAGTCCTAGTGATTCTCCTATAGGTGTGTTTTCAGCTGTCTTCTGTGCTCAGCTCCATCCTCCTCCCAGTCCCATGTAGAAGGCAATTAGAGAGCATTGTTGGTGGAGAGTAGGGGTTGTGGCTGGAGCTGCACAGAAGCAGCTTGATTGTGGGCAGCTCCTCCATCCCTGGCCTTTCGCACCTGGATGCTGTCAGAGCTGCCACGTTCTCTGGTGCACCCTCGGCAGTTCCTCAATAGCTGGTCCTCTCTGGCTTGACACATGCTGTATGGACACTATGTTGGAGAATGGTTGCATGATTAATTTTTGGATTAAGATTGAGAGAGAACTTTGAGAACAGGAGTTCTTCAGGTTGAAAAGCTAGATTAGCTGTGGCAGGAGTTCTATTAATATTTCCTTTGCAAAAACCCTCTCTAAGTGTAGTATGTTTATAGCTAGTTAGAAAAATGTGATATACTTGCCTTGAACAAGTTATTAGTTCCCACCTGTTGTACAGCTGTTGTTTGCCATTGGAAAAAAAAGTACAGACTTGTATTACGTTTTGAGTTTTGTGTACAGTCAGTGCTGCATCTTGAATTTTTTAAAAAACTATGTGCTAAATATGTCATACTTTACAAAAAAAAAAAAAAAAGAAAAGAAAAAAGGAAATCATTAGCTCCCAGACTATCCTATGAATATTGCTGTGGAGAGGAAAAAGTTTTTGGAAAGACAGAGGTGGATGTAGTGCTTCCTCTACTTACAAAAATGTCACAGAGATTCATTATTTAGCTAGCGGATTGTGGGTGCCAGAAGATTTTCGCAAAACACCTGGACAAATGAAAGGAAGAAAAATCTATTGGGGCTTATTAAGCACACAGATATTATGTGTAGCTTTGGAAGCCAAATGTGTGAGTTGCTGATTTTGAAAAGGAGAAAGCTGGTACAGCCTGTAAGCTGGTACAGTGTTACCTTCCTGTGATGCAGGCCTACATAAGGCAACATAACGTCCATCTCTGGACTGCCACAAAAATGTTTGGTTTTCACCTGCATCAGGTCCCTGAATCATCTCCCTGCATCGTTGTAAGAGTGCTTGCAACGGGAAGGGACAGGAGTCCATAGCTAGTTGCATGGCCTAGGTTGTAGCAGTCTGATTTAGGTTGGCCTCTGAGGTCGCTGCATTATGATACTATGTGAATCTAGAGGTATGAATCGTATGTTCATTTTATTGTATTGTCCTTGGCATCCTTAAATTTTTAGTCTGCTAAATAATGACTAGGGAAAGGAATATAGTGTGAATGTTTTCCTGTTTAAAACAGTATTTTTTTTTTTCCATGTAGGAATAAAAGCTCATTATTAAAATGTATTTTAAGCTATCACTGATTAGTAATTCCAATCAGTATATTAACTGGAAATTGTGATTATATGGCAGCTACTAAGTATCCAACTTTGTCAGTTTCTTCAAATTACTATTTTTAATGAGCGCAGTACTGATAACCAAGTTAATAACTGAGAAACATAACAAAAAGCAAGTGCTCAGTGCTGCTTCTTTTTTTAAATAATACAGATCTGTGCTTTTAAGAGAAAGCCTTGTTTGTGGATAATGGAAGCTAGTTCTTTCAATTTAGACTTGCTAGGTTACATATATCTGTGCTATTTTTTGAGTTAACTAGAAAGCATATTAACAGACCTGTATGTGCCAAACCTCACCTGTCAGAAGGCTTTGCTATTCCTGCATCTGACATGGTAGGCCCTTGCAGAAAGTATGTATGTCTTCCGAGGAAATCTTCCTGCTCTTCATCAGTCTGAGAAAGGCTAGAAATTGCTTCTTGGTTTGTTTGAGAGCACTTCTTGCTTATGCTCACTATATTTAAGAGGGAGACTAAAATTCATTTATTTGATCTGTTTCTGTGTGAGTGCTGATGTGGTGTTCTGCTCTGTTGCATTTTCTGTGGATGTTGTTTTGGTAGTAATTTCTGAAGCATATAGAGTGTTATGTAAAGAAGCAGATGATGTTTGAGGTAAACTGGGGAGAACTAAGCTGTGTAGTGTTTGCTTTTGCATTCCTGTATGCTGGCAAGTGCCCTGGGGCTGGTCAGATGGTGGCATCCACAATCTCCCCGGTGGGGTGTTGTTGGGGGGGGGGGGGGGGTGGAACAAAATTTGGAAGGCTTGTTCTTCTAGTTCTAGGATGCTCGTGTGGTGCTGGCCATACAAGTTGAGGAGTGTCTTGCAATTGCCATTTTTAAGTGATCAGACCTGGAGAAATAAAGTTTAAATATACTGGAAGTTGCAGAAAGGCAGGGTATTCTTCTGTACAGCAACCTGTTCAGGGTGCTACGATGGACAGTGCTGTTGGTAGTACTGTGGCATGGCATGTCTTGCCCATCATCTTCAAGGCTAAAGTGAAGCTTTTACTTTGCTACATGCTATCAGAAAGCAAACTGAGAATTGGGCTCATCGTAAGGGGCCTGGGATGCTCTGTGTTCCTAGTGTCCTTGTGTTGTACTGGGAGGGGTGAGGGAATCTCTCTGTGATGGGGGAGAATCAGCGTGCTTTCTTGGTGTTCATACACGCTGCTTCTTGTTGGATGACTGTCTGTGTATCTGATAATACTTTTACATGACACTTAAATTCATGGAGTTGATTAAAAGCTTTGGAAACTTGCTACTGCCCCAATCCACAGTTTTTACCATCCAGTGATCCCATAAATCTGAAGCGTGTTTGACTTTAGACACCTTTTATTGACTAGCAAATTTCTCTCTCCAGGTAGTTCCTTAGAATTTTACATCAGCTGATGGTGTTTGCATGATTTTTTTTTTTTTTAAATGCGCACATGCGCACACACACACACACACACACAGATATATACCTTTTATGTATTTAATATATATGAACTGACAAAGTAAAATAGGATTTTTTTTATCTTTTGAGCCATACATTTAAAAATTCTCACTCGTATAGGTGTTCAGTCATGGCAAGTTTTAGTATTTTAGCATGAAATACCTTACTTGGTCTCACTTCACAAAATCATTTACTGCCCTGTAGGATGACCACTCTTTCTACCTTTTGTTTCTTATCTTTTCTGATCTTTTCTGTTCCTGTTCTTGTTTTGTCCTGCTTCAGCATCTTCCTCTATTCACTGCTATTCTTTAGGTTTCCTCCTGCCCTCTTTTCCCCATGTCATCCAGTTAATTGGTGGAATAGCTATTTTTGACAAATAATGTCATCAGTAAGTGCTAGAGTTAACACCTGGTTTCAAAGAATGGCATTTGTATTTCATCACAACTTTATTTACTGCTCTGTTCATTTTGTTTATGCTGAAAGACAGCATGGTACCTGGCAATCTTTGTTTAATCTGCATTCAATATTAATAATACCGGCACCACAGAACTTAATCTTAAAAAAAAAAAAAAAAAGTCTTTGTACATGAACAGCTTAACAGCTGGTGTAGGAAGCTGATGCCCGTCTTTCTGCAAAAAAACATTTGAAACAGGCTGTTCAGTGTAATAGGTATGTAATTGTTTATCTGTTAGCTGAACTGGCAGATAGAATTTTCTATAATGAAACTGGCGTAGATGTAACAGGGAAGGACCTAAGTAAATCCATTTCACAAGTTGAATGAAAAGAAACGAATGAGACTTCTTTCTGCGTTGTAGCTGTATTACAGGAAAACCAAGCTATGAAGGAGTTGATTCTCACGTAGAGAGTTCTGCAGGTAGAGCTTTGCAGTTATGAATGTTTACATCTGGTTGTCATTTTGACTGTCATCTCATCACAAGGACATTTTAACTCTGCAGTTGATAACCTATGGTTGTAACCTTGGAGAAGGCTTTTCTCCTGTTAGAGGGATGTCTTGGAATTATGCTGTGAGTTGGAAATGCTGCCTAAACACAATACAAGAGTTGAAAATAAGATAATCCTCTTTAAGCTGTTTAAGGTGCTAAGGAAAGTTGGGTAATAAATTCTGTCAGTGACATTCTTTGCAAGTCCCAGGTGCTTCACAGAGCTGTGATAGTCTGATAAAGTAGAGCATCTGATTCTTCAACAGAAGAAATTAAAATGACCTGGCTTAATTAATTTTCTATTTATGTACTACAATCTGCTTTCTGGCTAGGAAGTTTTGCTATATTCTCTTAAGGGGGTGACAGGGAAGGAGCGTGAGGACTCACTTCCGTTAATTTTATTCTTAACGCTTACTCTGGCAAAGATCTATTTAGATACATTTCTAAGGGGTTATTGTTTTTGCCGGTCTTGCAGAAAGACTGTGATGCTGCTCAAATTTTTTTTTTTTTTTTTAATGATTCTAGTATATGAACAACTCATTTACTAATCTCTCTTGCTGTAATTCTGGATTGTCATTGACACATGAAGTCTCACTGAGTAAAATTTGATTATTGTGTTGAAATGAGTTTTTAGTACTGGTGGAGGATTTCTTTTTTAATTGTACAGTTATCCAGTTAGATACTGAAAGTGTAGAAAGTAGGAAGAGAAAGCAGTTTTTCTGCAGATGTACATATTTCATCAAGTCAGGATATTCTTTGTCACCCATGAGTGTGTTAATCTTGTGGTCCTGCTACCTTTTTCTCACTTACCTCTCCCTCTACCTCTTCCAATCTTTTCTGCACAGCTTGCTTACTTCAGACAGCGAAAAACAAAAAGTGACATCACGCAGTCGCAGAAAAAGACGTCGAAGAGGAAGGGCTCGTCTGTCCACGCGCATGACGTTCCGAAGGAAGAGTACGCACTAGTGGCCCAGGATTGCAACTTTCTTTCAGATGTTGGTAAAGAGAGTAAGTCTGAAGACACCAACCTACTAGAGACAACAACAGAGACAGAGGTAAATCTTAATGTTTCTTGTGTTTCACTTCACTCCATCTGCAGATCACACGTACTCCAGATGACTGTTTTACCTAATTAGTTATTAGCTCTCCTATCTCTGGCATTGTCAACTGGCTGCCCCTGAGAAATAAGTAAACTGATGTATTTTCACTTGCAATAAGAAAAAATTCTCTTCCGAAATGATGTAAATAACTGAAAAAACTGAAGGCTTTTCAGTAACTGAATTTTACCAAGCCTTTCCGTTATATGGAACGGACAGACTGTATTGCCAAGGAACTGTCTACTGTTAGCCTACTAAATTGAGGTCTTTTACCTTTCACTTCTGTGACCTTTTCCTTTTGGCAGATTTTTGATTACTAGGGCTGTGATTCTGTGAAACAGCAAATCCAGTTTGAGATCTGTAGTAGATGAGTGAAAATGCCATGACCTCATAGTGCACAGCATTTGGCTTTCTACCACTTTGTTGGCTCAAACATGCTTAATTCTCTGGAAAAAAACATTTCCAGCTTCCAGTAGGTACTGTAACCATTGTAAAGCCAGCATACACATTATGTTATGTTATCTGGCTTTTTTTTTTTAATTTGTTTTTAAATTTGTCTCTTCTTGTGCCTGATGTATTCCAGTATGTTTGTACTGGTGATCCTGTACAGGTGATCCTATAGTCATGTTAATAAACATAAAACCACAGCTTGTGATTAACAGACAGCTACTAATAGACTAATGGATGTACTCACTTGAATTAAATAGTTGCTTTCTTGCTTCAGCTCACAAGCAAGATTTTTTTTGTGTCGGTTTTTGATTAGATAATCACATATCGCTCTCTCCCCCTCTCTTTCTCCCTCCCTTCCTCCCTCTCTCCTTCCCTGCCTCCCCTCCTTTCTCTGTCTCTCTCTCTCTCTCAATAGAAACAAACAAAACATAGCTTTGTACAGTATTTTTATAGAAATCTAGCTTGCTTCAGAAGTGGTTGGCTAATGCTTTGACAAACCTCAGAAGGTACCAGGCATCTCTCTGGCTACAACAGACTAGAGCTATCTGGGTGTGAGAGTTTGTTTCAAAAGTGGTTTCCCAGTGTACTTCAGGGTGTTCTCTATGCAATGATACTGGAGTTTGGGGGAGACAGTGCCTTCTGCATAAAAACCAGCTCTCCAACTGTTCGTGCAATTTCACAACATATAGCAGTAGCATCAGAGAGTAGTGCATTTGGAAAACTGAATTATCTGAGGATACCATTTGCATGTGTTGTCCTCTTGTCTGTAGCAGGGGTAGCCCTAATGCTTTCAGGATATCTTGAACATAACAGTGGCCTTGCTAAGGCTTTTATGAAGCTGCATGCTAAGCTGTCTTGCACTAAGGAATTCGTCAGTTATTTTTGCCAATTAACCTTCGTGCCATTGGGAGCGTTCTTTCTACCTTCATGTGGACATGAGTTTTACAAAATTATTTATTGCTTCTAAAGAACTTTTGTCAAAATAGCCTATTTATAAAGCAAATGGAATTGCTGTCTAGCTTATGCAAAGAGGGTAGAAATATTATGGCACCCCTAGGGAGACAGTCATCACTAGAAACTATTTAGTGCAGATCCAAAATACAGGGAAGGCTATGATTTGACTTTTCTTTTTAAAAAAAAAAAAAAAAAGCTGCAGTCATCTTTGCAAGTCTTGTTGTGGCTTTTGTGAGAGCTGAATATATTTTAAGATGTCATGCTACATTAAGTATATGCATCAGAAAATATTGTTGCTTATGTAATTGTCTGAATAGTTTTCAGCATGTTCTTTAAGTTATCTCAGTCTGTCCATTTATTGACTAGTATTTAGTAGTAACTTAGAGTGCTTAATTATATTTGCAAGCCATAAAAGCAGAAGATAAAATCTTGACTCGCAAAGGTGAGACTTAGCACTAAATCTTTGCGTAGGCATTTATAGCAGTTTCAAAACATGGGCATTTATTTCATTCGACTGTGGATGAGCTGAGTTTCAAATATCTCCCTGTGTCTGTCTCCCTCCCTGTGTCTCCCTCCGCTCTCTCTTTTCTTTCACTGCTATATTATCTGATAGTATGGACTGCTCTAGTCTAGGTGCTTTGGGTGTTTCCAAATAATTCTATTTTTCCTTAGACCTCTTTAAAACGGTCATGATTTAGCGGTTGTTCTATTTGCTTATTTAACAGGGGAGTGCTGATTTGTCCAACTGGCGTGTATTGAATGATCGTGCTGCTGAAGTAAGTGTGAAAGAAAATTTATTTAGTAACAGATGCTGGTATATATGTGGTAAAAGAATATAACTGGTTATTAAAATGCTACATATGGTTTAGTCATAGAGGATTGTTATCATGTGTGTGATAAAAGCGATATCGTCTCACTGTTTTGAAGCCTAAAAGCTTGTATTTACATGTATCCTTAGCAGAGGAATTGGTTGGTAAGAGTAATGTTTTTACTGAAATCAGAGACCTTGTTCAGAGATTTGAATATTTGTAATTGAAAAGAGGGTTTATTTTTAGTTGTTTCAGGCATTAAAAACCAGAAATATTTTAAATAAGATACAAGATACATGAGAATTCTAACGATATTGCTCTTAAGGACTCAAAGAATTGGTTAGAAGACCTTTTCTCTTTGAAGTTCTTGGTTTCTGTTTGGTTGGTAAAGGCCATTGAAACTAACTTCTTTTTCACATGGTATGTTGCTTATATTTATTTGCAATTTGCTAAATACACTTGACTTTAATTTTAAATCAAGCAATTGTTGTTATTATTATTGTGTTATGGCAGGCCTGGGGAGCAGTCAGCCCAGAAAGACACAACAACTTTATTTAATTTTGGTAGTATTTTACTTCCCCTCACCTAAAACCGCTAAGTTTAAATCCCTAAACATGTCAGAATGGGACTCTGCCACAGTCTCGTGCTATAGAATCAAACCATTCTTCTCCATGTTTTACACTTGCCCGTTAAATTATCATGTGAAACTATATGATCTCTGAGAAATATTTATTTGAAATTTTTAAGAATTAAGGCTTTAGTATTTAATGTTTGTATTAAATACAAATCCAAGTGCTGAATTACTTAAACTAAAACAGGTGCAGAAATAAGCTTGCAGCTGAATTTATAGTCAGAGTCGTCATAAAACAGAAATGGTATATTGTTTTGGTGAATAAATACAGTTGTTTTTTTTCTTTAATGAAGAAAGCTACAATAAATTCTACTGCAGAATGCAGTCAGCTGGATGGTAAGATCTGTCAAACTAGAATAGCTGAGCTAGAAAGCAAACTCCTGGAGAAACAGGAAGCAGTTGAAAGACTCACTGCACAGATGAAGGAGCTACAAGAGCAGCTTACCCAGCATAGCAACTCTATGCTGCTTCAGGTATGTTTCATAAAATTAGACGATGGAGATAACATTACTGATTTTGGGTCCTGTCTCCTAAATATTTTTAGAATTAAAGCAATGTATCTTTTTTTACTGAAAGATGCTTCACCTTGTTGAAATGAACTAGCAATAGATTCAGCCTGGATTTATAAAGGGGAAATAGTGCTTAACCAACCTGATAGGCTCCCACAATGAGATGGCTGACTTGCTGGGTGAGGGGAGAGCAGTGGATGTTGTTTATCTTGACTACAGTAAGGTTTTTTGCACTGTCTCCCATAGCAGCCTCATAGGCAAGCTGGGGAAGTCCAGACACTACAACTGGTCAGTGAGGTGGACTGGAAACTGACTGGACTGCCGAGCTCAGAGGGCTGTGATCAGTGGCACCGAGTCCAACTGGAGGCCAGTCACTAGTGGCGTCCCCCAGGGGTCGATACTTAGGCCAGTCCTGTTCAGTTTCTCCATTACTGACCTAGATGAAGGGACAGAGTGCACCCTCAGCAAGTGTGCGGATGACACAAAATTGGAAGGAGTATCTGAAACACCAGGTGGTTGTGCATCCATTTGGAGGGACCTCGACAGGCTAGAGAAATGGGCAGGGAGAGAACCTCCTGAAGTTCAACAAAGGGAAGTGCAAAGTCCTGCTCCTGGAGAGAAATAGCCCCTTGCACCTATATAGGCTGGGGGCTGACCTACTCGAGAGCAGCTTTGCAGAGAAGGACCTGGTCCTGGTGGATGACAAGCTGACTATGAGCTAGCAATTGCAAAGGCAGCCAATGGTATCCTGGGGTGCGTTAGGCAGACTGTTGCCAGCAGGTGGAGGGAGGTGATCCTTCCCCTTGGTTCAGCACTGGTGAGTCCACACCTGGAATGCTGTGTCCAGTTCTGGGCTCCTCGGTACAAGAGAGACATGGACCTGCTGGAGCGAGTCCTGTGAAGGGCCACAAAGATGATTGAGGGGCTGGAGCATCTCTCATGTGAGCAGAGGCCAAGAGAGCTGGGCCTATTCAGCCTGGAGAAGAGAAGGCTCTGGTGGGATCTTCTCAATGGGCATAAATATCTAATGGGAGATCACAAAGTGAGGCTGCTTATGTTGTGTGTTTATGAACAGACCACAAGTAATTTTCCTTCTTGGTGGAGACAGTGATATAAATAAATATATTTAAAAGGTCCGTATTTATCAAGACCATGCTGATCAGTGGTTAAAAACAACAACAAAGTATTGTTCAAACCATTAAAAAAGAAATGCTTATTGAAATATCACTGATGAGGATATGTCTCTAAATCCACTTCCTGGAAGCAGCTGGGTTCCTTATAAAAGTTCAGATCGAGTGAAAGATCGTTCTTTCTAAAGATAATTCTTTTTTTTTTTCCCCTCACTGAGATCATTTACACTATGAGTATTTGTAAAATATCTGTACTTTTTGCATGGGCAAATGATTAAGTAGGATCAGTTAAACTTTGTTAAACTGACCTTTCCCCTTTTCCAAAGTGTTAAAAAAGTATTTTAAATTTTGTCTTGCTAAGATTTCTAAATTATGGTAAATTATCAGGTACTTTGGAAGAGTAGTTGCTTCTTTATTTACATATTTTCTAGTCCTAAAAGGAGGAAAGGGGAAAAAAAAAACAGTAAAAACATTTTCTGTCTTTGAGGAAAAAATTTGGAGAGGTTAATGTGATTAACATAAAATAGGATTAATATATCCCATCTCGTTAGCTTTCTTTCACATGGCTGAAGGGAAGAGTTGACAGATGGGAAACGGTTTAGGGGTAATAAAGATTCATTATATCCTGTAGAAAAAATGATTACTTGTAGGCCAATAAGAGCCATGACATTTCTAAATACATTTTTCTTTTTCATTATCAATGAAAAATTTGATTTTTTTTTTTTTTGATTGCATTTGATTATCTTCCTCTCCTCTTTGAAATCAGTAGAGGATTCCTCTTTCCTCACCCTGCCATCATGTTTTAAAAGAAGTATTTCTGCTCCGATGGAGCAATTTTGTTAACTCTAGTGCAACTATAGACTCGGACAACTTTGCTTTAATAAAACTTACTGGGTTCCTAAGATGTTAAGAATATTTTGATTTTAAAGGTGCACTTTCTGTGATTCGTGTAGGAAAGTGCTGTCCAGGAACGAAATGAAGTCATAAGAAAACTAACAAGCAGCCTTCAACAGGCGAGGAAGGATCGCGATGACCTCCAGGAAGAGGCTGCACATGTAGCTGACGACATCCATGGTTTACAACTTCAATTACATCAGGTGTGATCCTTTTGTAATTTTTGTTTCCTTATGAAGTGAACAAGAACAGGTTTAGAACACAAACATAAAAACTTCCTAGTGTACATCTTGACCCTTTGACATAGTTCTAAAAGAATAGAATGTAATTCTCCTTTTTTGTTTTTCTTGTTTCACAAAAGTTCAGTTTGCAGTGCAGCCGTGAAAATGATGTTGGTGCAAGGCAGAATTTCCCAAGTTACTGTAGAGAAGTCTTGGAGAAATCTTTAATTTGCCACTTAGCTGCTGTGAAATGTTTAGGAGATCATTGCACTTTTTTGTACATCAGTTCAGCTTTTGTTAGGGCGTTTTACCCAATATTGATAGTGGCTTGGGATTTATAGACATCACTGTAATAATATTGGCTTATGTGTGATCAGTTTACCTCAGCGTAACAAGTTAGTGGGTATCAGCCAAACTATTACAGCTGTCTGTGTATGTACTCCACCTTGCATGCCCTAAAGCTAAAAGTTATTTACCTCAAAGAAGGTGATTTTAAGTAGCTGAAATAGAGCTGATGCAGCTCCTCTGCTACACAGGAACCTGTTTTGCTGATAGGTTGATTGTGGATCTGAACCCCACGTGTTGGGATATACTAAATCCTTTCATTTACCTTAAACAAAATTTTTTTTTAATCCATTCTCGTGATCTGCAGTGTTATAGTGGCTCCTCTCTTTGAATACCTTTATTTTTGTGTTTCAGGAGCCTTATTGTGTATGCCAACTTCTTTTGTCAGATTTGCAGGATAAGAATCAGAGTAGGAGGGGCTAGATATCTTAAATGTCCAGCTAAGAAAGGGGCACTTAAAAAAAACAAACCAACAGCAACAACAACAAAACCCAAACATTGAAGGAGTATGGGGTTTTTTTGCTTTGCCCTGGAAACAAGTCCTCTGCTGAATGGAATTGTAACTTTGGAAAAGGGAAAGAAATTCCGCTTTTTCTGTGTGGTTCTTACTGTTATTGACAAAGTACTTTGTGGTAGTGAGAGTTACTCTACAGACGATGATTGTTGGGATTTGCTCCATAAGCCACTGAAACACTCTAAATAGCACTTCAGGCATGCTCTAAATAAAGGCTAGTAATGTGATGCAAATCATTTGTGGAAGCATGACAGTTTTGATAATAGATGAAAGAATAAATACTGCCTCAAATATACTTATCTTCTTGGTTTTAGAAACATTTTTAGAAAATAGCATTGCAAATGAATAAAACGTGTTCCTCTGTTACCCCCAGAGCTTTACAAAAAAAAAAAAAAAAAAGTGGGAGAAAAAAATCTTTTCAGTTGGGGAGTGAGGAGGGGCAAAAAACCCTTCGGTATTAGATTGTAAATCCTTTGAGGAAAAGACTTGTTTTGTTCATTGGCCTCTTACCGGAAAGCCCAGTTCATTGGGAGTTCTGCTTCATTATGGTGGCTTCATAAGTAAGTAAGAATTATCTAATATTTGTATTTTTATGGTAAGTAATAGTATTTCAAACTTGAAAAGTGTCATCTGACTCTTTGGGAGGATTCTTATCCTTTGAAATGAGAGAGGGTAAATCTGTATTAAATGAATGCAGTATATTTTATGCATAGAAGGAGGTCAGTGTATGAGTTATTCTGGTGTAAACTTACTTCTGACCATGAATACATTCATGTATTCAGGCAAATGAGATGCTGAGGAGTAAAAGCCCTCGAAGAAATGAGGTATTGGAAGCCCAGCACCAGGCAGCCTTGTTTCAGAACCGTCTCAAAGAGCAAAGTACGCATTTGGAGATGCTGCGTCAGAAAGCACGCGACTTGGAAGTACAACTTGAGTCTTCTCAAAAGGTAAAGCTTTTTAAAGTTTCTTTATAACTGTGAGTTCTAGGTAGTTAGCTCTTTGTCATGATCTTGCAAGCCAAGATGGCTCCTTTTGGAAGAGGAACCTGTACTGAACGTTTAGTTTCTGCATGAGATAGCATTGCTACTTCAGTACTGAACCAGTGCTAAAACTGTCCTTCAACATGATATTAAAGTGTGGTCTTTCAAAGATGTTGATATCCAGCTTAAGCAAAATAACTACTGAGAATTTAAGAATTTTTTTGTAAGATGTAAGGATTCAGTTTTGGCTGTTTAAAATTGGCTTACTGTTATGTGTTGAAATTACTCCCTTAGTTTCTGTTGCAGAAGGGGAGGTCTTTACCACTGTTGCTGAACTGTTGTATAAGATTAAGAAATTTCAGTTAGAAATAGCTCCTTTGCAGTATTTATTGAACTGATACATGTGGGAATGTAACCGAGATGACAGAGGCATAGCATTCCAGTGGGATCAAAGCTGCTGTATAAACAGGGGATAATCACTTAATAATTTTACAGTTGTATTTGAACAGTTACTTAAAATGCTTATCTGAGAGCAAAACTTAACTGTATATATAAGCACATTAGTTTCAGATACAAAACAAAATGAAATGCTTGTGTAGGAGTATTTTCATGCACTCATTCCAGAAGTACTACTAATAAAGAAATAATCTTAAAGTTAAAAATTCTAAATGTGGAGATGTCATAATATGCATTTAGAACTTGGTGCTCTGACCAGCAGTGATGGTGTGGTCGTGGAAAAAGTCTTTCTTTAGAATCAAATTTCAGAGGGGTCATGATTAGTAGCATATATGAAAAACAGCTTAGAAAATCAAATTTCCTTTAAGCACAGAACCATCAATGCTATAGTTAAAAGCCTTAAAGTTTTAAGTAGGGGACAGATGAGTGAAAATTGGGTATGGCTTTTCCTGCCTACCCCTGTCTGCAGGAAGCGTTTTCTCTGTGTACAAATGGATATGAGAAGGACAGGTATCTGTAGCTCCTATGTTTTGGATTCAAAATACCCAAAGTTTGAGGCAACCACTATTTTCTTTCTCTCGGGAGTCAATGGCATACCATTTATTATTCCTCAGCAAATCTGATATTTGTGGCCGGATTTGAAGAGTCCTCCAGTAGTTTTTTCCACTTTCAAGGGCATGTTTAAAAAATCCAGTTGCCTAGGCCAGTGAAACACTCTGCACTGAAGGGTAAACGTTGTTTGTGAAGAGATTTTAAAAGTTGGAGTTTTAGGGAAATTAAAATGTGTCATATTTCAATTGCATATTTCATATGTAACATTTTATTTTTAAGAATACCAAAGATAAAGAAAATCTGCTTGCCCAAATGGAAGAGAGTATGAAAGATACAATGCAACAACTATACAAAAGCATAGGAGAAAAAGAAGAAAGTATTAAAAGTCTTCAGGATGTGCTGACATCAGAAAGATTTTGCTTATCTATACTACAACATACCCTTTCTCTCCGGGACTCAGAAATAATGGAGTTAAAAAACGAAATATCCTTATCCCAAATGAAAGAACAGCAGCATATTGAAGAACTCAAAGTGAATCATGAAAAGGATACTTGCAGACAGTTAGAGTGCTTGAGGACCGAGCTGGAGAAATGCTACAGAAATGAGATTGCAAAAGCCAAGCAGGTATATGAGGAAGAAGTGATTTTAAAATATAAGAATGAACTTGAACAGTTAAAAAAAGAACTCTCTGCTCTGAATTCGGAGGAACACGTTCAGAATTTGAACGTCATAATAATTGACTTAAATAATAGGCTTCAAGAGTCTGAAAATCATAAAGAAAATTTGAGAAAGAAACTGGAAAACCAACTGGAAGATTTTGAGAGAGAAAAATCTGAAATTGAGATTAAATACAAAGATTTAATTGTTGGCCTCAAATCCCAGCTTTCTGATGCAGAAGAACAGGTCAAGGAAGCCCAGCGATACAAACATGAAAAAGAGTGCTTGAATGAAGAGATCCAGAAACTCAATTCTTTTGTCCAGGAATTAAATGAAAAGCTACATGTTGAGGCTAAAAGAAATATAAATTTAAGGCAAGAGATTGTCCGCAATAAAGAGAAAATGAGGGAAAAATTAATTTTGCCGGAGGTGTCAGAGTTACAGGGAGTGGAACTTGAAGAGATTTGGAGTAAACCATGCCAGCTTGAAGGTGAAGAAGAGTTAGTTCATGAAGAACTGGAGTCCCAGCACAGCTTGAGAGTAGACTCCTCAAGAGGTGATTTAGAATTGAAGATTTTAGAGAAGCTCAAAAAGAATAATGAATGTTATGAAGCTGATAGCCTGTCTGAAGAACATTCGTTAGATGTAGGCTCTTTCACCAGTGATGAAGGCATTTTGGCTAAGTATCTCATCTCTACAGAGAGACCAGAACAGTCATACATGTCAGACAATTCTGAAGGTTATGCCATTGAGGAAGGTAAATGTGGGTTAGACGATAATATGCTTTTAGAACCCAGTACAGATTTTGTACCACTTTTATTAAAATTCAGCCCTGGTGAGAAAGCGTGCCCTAGCAGTTTGGCTCAGAAGACTTTTGAAGAGACTGAGATGGAAGCAGAAGCTTTTGTTTCATTTTTGTCAGATAGCTCCCTGCAGCAACATAAAATAAGTGACAACGATGATGTAAAGGATGATGAGAACGTCTGCTTAATGGAGAGATGTGTGAAGCTAACTGAGCAGCTCCATGAGAAGGAGGCAGCCTTGAACAAGTCTCACCAGGAGACCCAAGAAGCTATTGGAAAATGGAAAAAAGTAATGGCTGAGCTCTCCCATGTGCATTTGGAACTGAGTGAGGAACGTGAGGCACGGGTCCGTTGTGAGAAGGAGCTTGATCAAAAAACAAAGAAAGAAAAAGAACTTGAAAACAAAATAAGCTTTCTAGTAAAGCAACAGGATGAGGATAGAGGCCAACCTGATTGCGCTGAAGACTCTTTAATGCAACTATCAAAATCCTTTACCTGGCAAGAAATGGTAAAAGACCTTAAGGAGGAAAGAGAAATGTTGATGGCGCAATTGCGAACTCAGGAGCAATTAGTGAAAGAAGTTCAAGAGCAGAAAACGGCTTCTGATTCTGTAACGAGTGAAGTGCAGTCTCTTTTTGGGCGTCAGCTGGCTGCTTTGCAAAGTCAAAGGGATCAAATGCAAACCCAGCTTGATGCTCAGAAGGCCAAAAATCAGGCGATAGCTGAGCTTCTTGGCCAGAAAACCGTATTAGAAGAGACATTGCTGAAAGAACAGGAGTTGCTCAAAGCTGAAATCAGTAATAAAGAACAAAATTTAACACACTTACTGGAGGAAAAAACAACCTTAGAAGAAAGATTATCTGACAAGGAGCAGGATCTAATAAAAGCAGAGAAAATCTTAACGGAAAATGTTAGTATCATAGAGAACCTTGAAAAAAACATACACGAACTTAATACCGAAGTGAAAAACCTCAAAGAAGTACGGGAGTGTGAAAGGTTGCGGTATGAGGAGAATTTGAACACCAGTAACTTAGAAATTCATAAACTTAACACCGAAATAAAGGCAAAAAGCACTGAATACAGTGAGAAAGAAAGCCAGCTGACTGAAGAAATAGCTCATTTGAAGAAAACTCAGTCGGAGCTTAAAACTAACTTGCAAGAGTCTGTTCAGTCTGCGCAAGCTACCCAAGAAGCACAATGTGAGATGGTGAAACATTACAAAGAGAAGATTGATGAAATGGAGTCTCAGCATCATGAAGAAATTAGTAAAGTGAGTTTGACACACAAGAAAGAGGTAGGCAGCCCTGATAGTGGCAGAAGTTTTTGGATTTCAGAATACTTGAAGCAGTCATTGCAAATGTTTATGTCCCTGTTTTCAGATAGAAGAATTAAATGCCAAAATTAAAGAGAAAGTGGAAAAGCAGCAGAAGCTGGAGGAAGAAAGGAAGGAACAGATTGCCCTAATAAAAAAGGTAAGCTGTATAATCAGGTTTATCTCAGAAAAATAAACTCACCGTGTGTTGTTTGTCATTTAAGGAGAACAAACGTTTCAGAGATGTAAAAATCTGCATTTTTTTTTTTCTTTTCTGTGGTGGCTTTGATTTTGGGGAGAGGGAGGCAAGGTGAGAATTCTGACTCAGTAAACTTGCTAAATAAGCATATTTTTAAGAAAGCTCTTTATCCGTGTGTTCTGTGCAGGTACATGAGCGAGAGCATGATCGTGAAATTTCTGAGCTGATTACTAAACATGACGAGGAAATGGAGGAGCTCCGTGCAGCACTAAATAAAGAACAGCAACAGCTGCTGGATGAACTTCAGCATCAAATGGAAGCCACACACAAAGCAGAGAGAGAGCAAATTCAGATCCAATCACAGGTATAATAAAGAACCACTGTAGCAGTTAGTTGGAGCCTTCACTTTGCAACAGCCTTGTTTTTTGTGCATGCTGTGTGTGCTGTTTTGTGTAATGGTGCGACTGAAGAATTAGGAGTGTTCCCCTGGTGGGTGATAGCAGGTATTTTCTACAGTAGTTCTTCAAGGTTCTTACTGCAATTGTATCTTAAGAGCAATTCTGAATAAAATTGGATGTGTAAATTGATGAGTAAAGAAAGAGCTTCTTCATATTTCATATCTTGGTAAGTTTAATGAGTTTATTTTTAATTTTAAGTTTAATTTTAACACGTAAATTTTATTTTTAAAAAACTGAGTTTTTTTGTTATCCCACTAACATGATTAGGAATGCTTTTACATTAAATTTGCATATGTCAACTTGACTTTCTCTCCTCTAAGTATTTGCTAGGTTTCTGAACGCTTCCACTAATGCAAAGCTGAAATGCAAAGAATATGACTAGTCTTAGGTCTAATTACTAGATATGAGTGTAATTTTCTGGCTTATTTAAGAATTGAGAAGTTCAGTCTATTTCAGTTGCCTTTATTAAGTGACAGATATTCAACACTTGTTTAATGATATACAGTGAATTTTATTTCCACTTCCATTTTTTCCAATACTGCTTCAGAGTTTTACTTTTTACCAAATTATGATCATAGTAAATAAGAGGAATGTTTTAACAGCCAGTTGAAAGGAGGGGTTTAGTTGTCTTTTGTTCTGAAGGTGTTGGGAGGAAACAGACAGATGCAAGGTATTTGGTAGGAGACAAACTTAAGAGGCAGGTAAGGAAAATCTTTTACTTTGCACTGAAAACGTTTTGCAAGTCTCACTGTAACAAAAGTCAGCGTATTTTCAGGATTCTATCCCATCCATGAAGAAATGCTTTCCAAATATAGAAAGGCAAGACTTTGAGGTCTGTAAACAGTTGAAAAAACAGTGAAAGTATATTATTAGAGCGGAGGGGAAAAGCTTTTTTTCTCTTACAGACACTGCACAGCCTTGAGTTGGAAGCTTTACGCCTAAGCTTAAATAATATGCACACATCTCAGCTTGAGTTGACTCAGTCTAACTTGAGAAAAGAGAAGGAAACTGCCCTCGTGGAACTACGGGAGATGCTCAATGATAAGCGTGCTCAGGAGGTAGCAATTCTGCAAAGCCGACATCAGCTGGAGTTGGAGAAGATTAAAGAACAGTGTTTGAAAGAAAAAGAAGACCTTAAGTTGAAGCTTCAGCAAGAATTAGGTATTAAAATAAGGGAATAATGGGTTGGAAATTGAAAACCCCTACGTACTTTTTTCCTCTGCGGATTCCAGTCTTGGTGTAGAGCTGTCCTTCTGAGGGAGAGTTGGCACTGCCATGAATAGGGATAGGTTCCAGACTGGCCTGTGCAAGAGTACATGGCTTACATGCAAAAATGAAGTTGTCCAGACCGAAGTTTTATTCCTTTTAATCCCTTTTTCATGGGTGGTTTTTTGCTACCTCTGCAAAACAGCAGTACAGTGGACTAGTTGGTATTTGGAGGTGTTAGATGGAGTTCTCCCAAAGAGCTTCATCCATGTGAAGGGCAGAGTTCTTCTCCTAAGTTTCTTTAGGGCTTTTATAGCCTTATGTCAGCAGCGACTTCAGTGTTGTGTTTCTGACAAAGTACTGAAACGGTTCCTGGCTTGCCCTCTCAGTGGTTTCAGAAGTAGGAGAAAGAGTTTGAAAGGAACTGAAAGGCTCAGTAAGAACCTGCAGGCAGGTATCCTTGGTGAAATGTTTGACCTAAGATTGGATTTTGGCATCACCAAGAAGAAAACTGCACTTGATAGTACTGAAGGCCTGCTTACAGTGCTCTTGGGATAGTTCAGGATAGTCCTCTCTTCCCAAATCATGAGACCATCTCTTCTGACCTTTATGGCCGATCTTGACACTGAGCAGGAATTTTTTGGAGGAAGGTGAAAACGGCAGCAATCCCCAATTCACCCGAAGAAAGGCTTTAAGAAAAACTTTTTTAGTTGTCCTATCCTGAAAAGCAGAGAATATTTTGAGGCTTTTTCTAACCCAAAATAGAAAAGCATTTTTTTGCCACCAGTAAATACCATAGTAAACCATAGTTTACCATAGTAAACTGATGGCATGGTGGGACATGGGAGTAGAAGGAGGTCTGGACACAAATCTCAAGACCAGTGCTGTTTACATGTGTTTTGGCCTTGTAACTTTATGTGAATGTAGCTATTTAAGAGTGCTTGAATGCAGGGGCTCAGAAAGAGTATCTGAAAACAGATGATGCAGGAGACCTGACTAGGAATTGTGGATACTACTCTTAGCTGGAGGACCTTTTTTTTTTTTTTTTTTAAAAAGGAAAATGATGACTGGGCATGATCCCAATTTGTCTGATTGCAGGGACATTCTTATCTTAGGATTTGGATGAAATTTCTTCCTCTACTTGACCATTAGTTGGGTAGTTGGCACGATCTCAGGGTCTTTGGATTCTCATTTCCTACTGAAAAACTTGGAGTTAGGAAGGGAAAAACCTTTGGTGTGGGTGATACTTCAGCAGAATGGTAGCTTCTCCCTTCCGCTCTGTTTCCTAGGTATTTTTAGAAGAAATTAGAGAAGAGTTTCGTACTTGCTATTGTCTGCTGTTCTCTTGCAATGTCCCAGGAGACAGAGATGATTCAAACACTTAATAGCGTTGTACAGTGAAATGCTAGAATCTAAAATATCAATAGCCTTTGAATTACTGTCCTTAGGAATAAAGAGGCAGTTCATATCTATTTCTTGGAATCATGCTCTCTCTAGATTAAGCAGATATTGTTTTGTTAATTACACGAAACTTAACTGCAAAGACAAACTTAACGGTTATAAGATAGATGCTTATCTCTTCTAAAAATGAAAGAGCAATACTGGGATGTAAGATAACAGCAGATTTGGATAAAACCCAGTATCTCATACTGCTGTATGCCTCCCAGTTCAGGTCCTGAGTGTTTGGAAATATTAATCTCGCCCCTATCTCTGCTTGTCACTTAACCATGATACTTTATATACATTTATTAATAAATAGTATTTTATTTCACAGTTGATCAGAGAAAGAAAATAGAATTGGAAATGGAAGAGACACGTATCCAGACATTAGAGGTAAAAATTCTGTTCTTCATACAGGAAAAGATAAAACTGCTTTCTATAAACTAGATCTGTCATAGCAGAGTCCCATTCTACTACACTTATTGCAAAGGACAAATAGATGGAATATGAAAACACAGAAAAAGTACTCTATTTACTAAGTGTGTTTGCTCTAATAATGCATGTGTCCTACTCTGTTAGACTCTCAAAGGAGACTGGGAGTTGGAATCCGAGATGCGTTTAAAAAGCATGCATGAAGAACTTTCTGAAAAGCATCAGACTGAAATGGAGGAACTGCAGAAAACTCTGGAAATGGAATTAGAAAAAGTCAAAGTGGAGCTGAGGCTTCTGTCTCTTGAGAAAGAACAGTGTGAAAGTAAGTGTCATGGTCTGAGAAGCAGCTATGTTTATTGTGAACAATAGCAAAACTAACTATAAGAGTTTTAGAACCTGTATTTAAAAAAAAAAAAATCTATGTACTCTTACTTAAAAATTCGGTCAATGACCAGAGACTGTCCAGAAAACAGGAACTGAAAGAAAATTTTATATTTAAAGCCTGGTTAACTGTGTTGTATTATGACTTACACTCAGAGTCTTATCTTCTTGTGTATTTCCCTTCACAAATATTACTAAAGGTGAGAGATAAAGGAAATAATACTCTCCTCCAATAAATGGAAATCTGGTTTTAGGGATACTGGAATTCTCATGCTATCTGACAGGCAGTAAACCAGCTCTGAGAAGCAAAGAGCAGCCTTTTCATACATATTGTGAGCCAGATGCTTTCACTGTATTCTTATGGCCTTGGCTACTGTTAGGATTTATCTTGTTCTTCCCAGCCTGCACTGATTTTACTATATTTCCCTGAATCTGTATCACAAAACCGTTTTGTGAGGAAAACATTCTTCTGCAGCTCACTGTGGCTGAACTGGGATCAATTTGTTGCAGACTCTTTCTGGGGCAGATCAAAGATTTGTTGGCTGAATGAGGTAGTAGCAAGTTCACGTGGTTCAGAGTGTGCTCAGTTTAGTGCTGAGCAGAGGAAATTTGGCGTGAGCTTTCTTAGTCCTTCCTGTTCATCTCTCTCCTACTTCCAGCTAAGTTTGATAGTCGGAGAAATTCTGTAATTCTAAGCCATGAAGAAATGTTTCATTTTCTGCTCTAAGTAAATATGCTTCTGGTTGAGGATGCTTCTTTGTATATTCAGAGAGCAGAGGCTCATCTTCTCCCTAGCACTGCTGCTGGTTGCCTGCCTCTTGGCTGAGAGCGTGGGATGTAGGGAACCAGGAAGCTCTGTGTGGAAATCTCATGCTTTTAAATCCTTGATTACTCAAGTTTGCGTGATGCTCTTCAGGTGCTGACACCTTTACCGAGAAGGCTCTTATTCCTGTGAGCCCTGTCGAGAATACTTTAAATGAGCATTTTAGTCTGGCTGCATGCGTTTCTATTTTAGTCACACAAATGTTGTACAGATGGTTATGCCACCATGCTGGCTGCTGAACAGAACTCATTTTTATTTTGTAGTAAAATGTATAGAATTGGAGAAGCAACACCAGTTAGCCATTGCAAAATTACGTGAACAGCTGCAGACTGAACATAATCAACTCCTAGAAGATATGAAGATGAAAAGCCAAGAAAAAGAACAGAATACTCAGAAGGAGGTAAATAAGATTTCTTTACTTTGTTTTGAAGAGTTAATTACTATCCACCTCTCAAAACCTATGCGGTATATATAACATTTGGGCAACTTGTTTGTATGTATTTATTTATTTTATGATTTTTATTGATGAAGTAAAACATATCTAATAAAGTAGATTAACACTCTGGGATTTTTCCATAATGGTTCAAAATCTTCTGAACACGGCCATCTTTTTGCCAATTTTATGTCATTCCTCTGTGTTTATACACTGGTGCTATTGGTTTTATCTAGCTAATACTTTATTCTTGCCAGTAGTGACAGCCAAGAGCAGACCTGTTGCTCTATCAGAGGAGTATGCCTAACAGTAGTTAAGGGCTACGCAGTATCTTTGCTAATTCAGGTTAGGAGCTGAGAGTGTGGTTGTTAGTGAGTGTTTCCACCTATTTCTGACAGGATTGTTTATGTTGCATATAAAACAAGCCACTAGAACAAAATAGTTTAAAACATTTTAATACATCTTCCATAGCTGGAGAAACTTCAGGTCACGCATGAAGAACTAAAGACTCAGTCACAAGAAGAAATCAAGCAACTCTGGTCTCAGCTCAATAGTACCCGAGCAAGTCGTCAGGAGTTAAGTGGTATGGTTGAAACTGATACGTTTTATTTTTTTGCCTCTAGTTCATGTAGAAGTACTCATTTTTGATATGGGAGACTCTTAGTCATATACCAGAAACACAGCTAAGTCACAGATGTGTACAGTAGGTCATACTCTAGTAGAGTGGGCACATGATCTCTTTCTGAAGTAAGAGATGGGTCAGTGTCAGATGACTAGGAGTTTTTCCGAAGTCAAAAAGCATGGTATGCCTGTGCGGAAGCGTTCACTCTTGTTGTTCTTGTTTTTTTTTCTAATGTCCTAAAATATGAAATTTTTCTTTCCGTTTTTATTGTCTTTGACTAGGGAACAGGAGTATCATGTTGTTATCACCGCTGTTGTTGCAATCATTGCTGTTCTCTATTAATTGTATTGGTGCCTTGAAGCTCCACTCCTGCACACTTCACAGAAATTTAGTGAAAAACAGCCACATTTAACTTCAAATTTGATTTCAAGTCGTAATGAATTGTAGTTTAAGTGGGGAAAATGCTGTTCAACAGAAAAACATTTAGAAGAGAATAACACTGGTTTATATTCAGTATGGAAGGGTTTATAAAATCAACTGAGAAAATGGTTATTTTTAGGTAGCGAGGATCACCACTTAGTTTATGACTTCGAGTGGTTTCTTGTTAATACAAGATTTAAAAAAAAAAAAATCTTTTTATTAGCCTGATCTCTTATTTATCTCCAAATAAAAGCGGAAGTATTTCAAAACAATGTGATTAGATTTGGTCTTGAGGTAGAAATTTGTTTTTGTGGGTTTTTTTCATTCTTCCAGTTCTGAAGCAAGTTAAATAAAAAACTTTTGTCACTGACATTGAAATTAGAAGTTCATGATCTTCTGAAAGACTTTAATCCTTAAATGTAGAAATACCCTGGCTGAAGCTTTTTTTTTTTTTTTTTAAATAAAATAAAAACATTCAGGTGATAATTCTGAAATTGGAATGAATGATTTTTTGTTCTCCTGTAAGGACTATATATAATTAACACTTTTGGAAAAATATACTTTGGTTTGAAAGAATAAATAAACCTCTCAAATCTAAAAGCAAAAAAGAAAAGGGAAATGTTGTGCATGGCATTTAAATAGGTGCAATCCTTTTTTTTTCATAATTTTTAATGCAGATATGCATAAGACCAAATTTAAAAAAAAAAAAAAAGTTCTAAAGCTTGAAAGAAAATAACGACTGGAAGATTTCAATCTGATATTATATTGTTAGGATTTCTGTTACACCTGTAAAGTATTTTAATTAAACCTACACACAACAGGTAATTTTTAGAGTATATTAATCAGAGCTGACAGGTTTTGTTGGCCAAAATGAAATAGAACATGCCTCAGTTGTATGTGTGCAAACAGTGCCATGATAAACAGAGGAACCAGTATTGGGGGGGAAAAAGCTAGAGACCATGTTCTTAGCCTTGGCTGTGTATGTTCATCTTCTATTGAGATTGTAACATTAGATGGCATTCTTTGCTTTACTGGGGTAGTTTAAGGATATTACACTGCCTTTTGTTTTAAATACCATTTCAAATTTTCTAACAAATTTAACTGTACTTAGCTTTTGAAATGTAACTGTTTCCTCCCCGCCCCCATTGGTACTTTATGGTTGTAAGTTGAAAGATTACTATTCTAATTTTTTTGGTTTTAGTCAGACTTTAACTTGTTGACCTTTTTGAATCCCCATTATTATGTTAGAGAATTATAGTACTGATAGTGCTTTTTAGTATTTGCTGGAACTCCTATATTCCCTCTCTGTAGTCCTCGTCTTTATTAACGTTTCAAATGTCTTTTCATGTCTCTAATCACTCATGTTTACCATTCTTTGGACCCTTTCTGTTTCTCCTTCATCTGGTTTGAGATGGTGAGACCAGAACGCGAGCCTCTGTTTCAGGTGAGGATGCATCTTTGCTGTGTGAGGAGATCTTAAAGGCGTTTTGTTTTACTCTGCTTTTTCTTTGCTTGAGTGATGCTTTGACAATGCACTTGGACTAGTCTGTGGACTCATTGTGGTGGATCAAAAACACAGCCACCAGATAATTAAATCACTGCTCTAATGTAAAAATGATGGCCAGTTCAAAACTGGTAAACGTTTTCCGGGGTTAATTCTGTGCCAGCAGACTTTGCTGGGTTAGCCAAAATCTATCTGTGCAATATTGGACTTCCCTTGCCTACGTCACTGCTGTTTTTACTAGTCCCTTCTTGGGGCAACTGCTTGGGGCAACCTGGCAACTGCTCCCTTTGAAAGCAGGCTTGAACTACATACTAATTTCACTTATTCTTTCTGTTTGGATGTTGGCTCTGAGAATTTTTCACCACAAGCGTGCATTCCTTTCGGTTTTCTATGTGAAAACACTGCGACACTCAGCCAGGTCCACCCTGGCTGTTTCCTGGCTGTTTGGCGTCAACTGTGATTTGACCTGGAGTGGCTCAGACTTGCTGTGTGCCTGGAGGGGAGGCTGCTGTTTGGCATTTCCTTGTTGGGAACGCGCTGGTCCTCTGCAGCATCTCCTTTGCGTCAGCACTGAAAGGCCCTCAGGCGAAGTCGAAGTGTAGCTGTGAAGGAAACTTGTTAGTGGTCTGAAGGTGTATGCAGCCTTTTTGGTTTGGAGATGATATCCTGTCTGTATTAAGCAGCTTGACTGTACTGGGGATGTGAGCTTGAGAGTTGCTACCAAACGACACTTGGGAGTTCCTAGTCAAACCACAGGCTCAGGACTGTTTCTCTCTCTCTTTTCTTAGTGCATACTGATAACACTGGTTTAATCTTTAAATGATGGTTTTGTTTTTTTTTTAAGAGCATAATAATCTTTGTCTATCATTTAGATTACTGTTCAAGCATGTGAATTTCAAGAAGTGCCTTCCATCATTTCTTTAAGTCTTTCTGGAGTTTCTTTTCTTGAATAACATAAGCTGCTTTTGTTTTCTAAGTTTTTTCTTCTTTAAAATCAGGTCCATCTTCAGTTGGCCTTGGTGTGGGTTCAGCTAATCTTAAGCCATCCGGGAAACTTCCCTCCTCACCATGATTTTTTTGCCCTTAGTTCTACCTTTTTTTTCCCCTCATGCAATACTCTAATAAAGAACATGGAGGAAAAAAAGCACTTGAATGGATAGCTAACCCATCGTCAAAGTAGATAAGGTGTTTTTTTTTTTTGTTAGTTAGTCTAAGATTAATTTTAAGTTTCTTTCTTGCAATTGTTTTTCTAGATAGTTGGTGCTAAAGGTTTCCCCTCACGCCCCTGGAGAAAAGACAAAATTGTAATAGATGTGCTTGAGTAAGTTATTCCTTCTGGCTGTGACAACAAGCAGGTGTGGGGATCAAAAAACATTGCAGGACTCCGCATGTCACTTTCTCCGAATTGGGGCACAAGGGCAATGCGAATGATCTGCTGGTGGTTTTGATTCTTTTCATGATGATGGTTTCTCTGAATGCCGTGTAAGTGGGGAACGCACTGGTACTCTCTTCTGAGGAAGGAAAGTTTTGTCTTTCAAAAGTTCGTCTTATGTAGTGTGTGGGATAGTATCTGGCTGTCGTCCTGACAATAAAAAACATGGCTCATCCTCACAGAATGAGTTAGCTTAAAGCTGTGTACTTCTAAGGATGCAATGAAGTGTTGTGTTCTTTTTGCCTCCATCTCAGAGTTAAAAGAGCAGCTCCTGGCTCGCGCATCCCATGTGGAGGAAATAGAACATTTAAAGCAAGAGTTTGAACAGCAGCGTCAGCAAAGAAAAAGTGAGCATGAAACTGAGTTAGAACAATTGAGACTTTATTTTGAAAAGAAATTAAGAGTTGCTGAAGAAAACTACAGAGAGGAGTTAACTTTGCTGCATCAGAGACTGCAAGAACTGAAGGAATATTCATTGTTGGAGTCGGACGTGAGCCAGGATCAAGCAGTGGATATCAGGTGATCTATTCTTTTTCCTTTTATCTCAGGTTATCATAAAATGCTTCCAATTTTTTTTGTGTAAAAGGTGATGCTAGTGTCTAAATACGTTGGGATTGGAGATTAGGTGATTTGAAGCTGGAAATCCAGCGACAAAAGTCATGAGTGTGGAGGATACTTTCTTGTGTAGCTATTATGGTTGCTCTGTACCTACTTTCAGTACCATATTGTAAGTTGGCAAGCTCATTTAAATTAACTTGTGACATGTGGTACAATCTTAAGTTTCTAAAACCATTTTGTCTTCTCAGTTCCTCTGTCACAGTTTTTGAAGAGACGACTGAAAAAGAGAGGAGAGTTATACTTGACCAGCTAAATCATCAGTTGGAGCAACATAAGGTAGGATTTTTGCTACATTAAAGTTCTGACGTTTATTACATTGCCCGTATGAAAACTGATGTCTGCTTCCCAGATCTTAGTGAACAGTTAAAGTCATATTTGAGACATGTATTAAGGCTTCATTATTTTCTGTCGAGCCTATTGTAAGTTACCAGCTTTAAATAGTTCTCGGAACAGACGAAATATGATGTTCTGCAGTTTTGTGTCCTGTGTTTGGATTATCCTGTGCCTAATAATAAAGTGTGAGTTCTGATCAAAAGTCTTCCCCACAGGGTGCAGAATTCATGATGTTTCTCTTTTCTCTGTGAACTTTGTAATAATTTTATCCTTTGTTGCTGTCACTTCTCTTCTAGTGGAGACACTGATTTAGTCCTTCCTCTATTTAGCCATCTATTTTCATGTACTTTCTTACAATTTAAGATCGCTATTTCTTTGTTCAATTCATTTGACTTTGACCAACAGTTCCAAAAGGGAATTTTCCTTTTTGGTTTTAGGTTTTTATAAATGTATTTATCTTAGTGAGGGGATGATAAGCAGACCAGACATACACAGACTACATCAGTTAAATTTAAGTAAATTTATTTGCGATATACTACATAAGAAACTTGCTACTATTTTCCTAGCTGAGTATGGAACTGTGTTCATGGTCATGACTTCTACGTTCTGTGATGATGCATATATAGAGGGGAGGGCTCTTCAGTGTTGAGAGTGGATAGCTTCTCTATCCAGGTGCTTGTGAGACTTTCCTCTCTGTTACACTTTCAAACAGCTCCTGAAGCTCTGATCTGCCTTGTGTCATGGCTCCAGGATATCTGTACTTATGGGGGGATCTGCCACAGCAGAGGGTGGAGTGGCAGGAACAGAGCAGAAACTGCTGGGTTTTGGGAGAACAGATGCACACAGGTCAAGCAGGTGCTTTGCAGTGTGGTTCATATAGTGTTCCTATTGGACCATTTCTGACATGGCTATTTCAAAACTAAAGCTGTATTTCTAATCCATTTGTTATGTAGGAAGAACTTGCCTGTTTGCGAGTACAACTTAAAGAACAGCACAGACATGAATTAGATTCCTTGAGGTCTTCCCTTGCACTTCAATATAAGGAGGACCTAATGAAAATGAAGATGGATCTGTCAGACAAATATATAACGGAAATTGAGGAAATGAAAAAAAAGCATTGTCTAGAACTTGAGCAGCTCCGTGCCAGACTCTCAGAAGAGCATATCAAAGGTAAGATCAGCTGGCAGATTAGGAAGTAAAATAGTAAGATGCTTGTGAGGCTTTTTTTTCCTTATCTAAAGGCTTGTTTGAAGAAATTTGAAAATTTGTTATTATTTTACTTTAAACTACAGGGAACACTTAAAGCTGGTTAGTACTTGGGTTTGGGCATTTTACTTTTTGACTCTTCTGGGCCCGTTGAGTTGCACTTTCAAGGATGTGGTGACCTGAGGTTGGTTATTCTGTAGTAAAGCTTACTAAACTTAGGAGCAGTTGCAAAAAAAGAGTTAGTCATAGTAAACTATACAAGCTTCTGAACTTGATGTCCATACCGTACCGTTAGCCGTGTGACACGCATGGTTAACTCTGTGCTGCTATATGTTGGTTAAAAGATCAGTAAACCCTTTTTAAATTGTGGTTATATTTATGTCCCTTTTTTTTCCCCCCTCTGTTAGAAAATGTATCAAACCTGCCCAAATTACAATGTTTAGGTGGAGAGTTGCCCCATCTGCTTTTCTAGGGGAATTCTTTATCTAAAGAGTATGTGGAAAAGAGGAGATAACTTTCTTTGTGGATGATGTAACGGCAGATTACTGAAAGTTTAACTCCTGTGACTGCTGCTGATTTAAGAGGGAAGTCCTGCTGTAGGTTGTGATCCTTCTGCGTTATTTTGTGTGTGTTCATACTGATAAATTCCAAGGTTGGTAGTTAAGTAGAGCGGAGTAAAAGTCACTTTGATAAATGTTTCTTGTTATTCTGTATGATGATTCTTGTTACTCTGTAGTTAGTGGGGCTACTGATGAATTGTGCACCTAGCAACATTCAGCTTTGTTTTATTCCTGCAAGTTAATAAGGCCTGTTAAAAGAAAATAAATTCCGGAATGTTGTTCTGCTGTTTATTCAGAAATCACCAAACTGCGTCTACAGAGTGCTCAAGATGCAGCACGTCAAGTTGAAATGGAGGTGTCTGAGCGAGTGTGTGTACTAGAGAAAGAGCACAAGGCTAAGGTCTCTCTCCTTCAGTCTGAGAAACAGTATATTGCAGAACTTTTGGAAGAAATAAAGCACTTAAAGGAAGAGATTGCTAAACAAAAAGATATTTCTGTGCAGAATGAAAAGCATCTGAAAGAGGAAATGGAAAAGGTAATTAGTATTAAAGTGCTATTTTGTATAGAATTGGGCAAACTCAAGTCTGTTGGGAAGGCCAAGTGAAATAGAAGTGGCACTTATTTTTAAATGTTTCGAGTTAGTAATAGTAGTTTCAGCTGCGTGGAATACTTGCTGGAATAAGACTCTTGAAGTTCAGAGCACTTTAGTGTTAAATGCTTAGTTTCCCACAGATTAATTTTTCTTCACAAGTACAGTGTGAGAAGGCAGGTGCTTCAAGTGTTGATCCAATCCACCTTTTCAATCACATGAGTTTCAGCACAAGCACAACGTTTGCAATGCAGGCAAGTACAAAAGATTCTCATCCTGAACCTCCCTCTGCTACAATCTGTGAAGCAGCACAGCGTTGTGCGCAAGTGCAGAAGTAAGGCATTGCACTTGCATGCTGTGAAGTGTCATACAGTAATGGAGAACTGAACAGGTAAGTATTGCAGCAGAAGGAAGTAGCCCCTCTGCTGAGCAGATCCCCTCTACGAAATATCTGGTTTCTTGATTGGAGTGTCTTTTGAAGTGAGTAACCAGAAATAATTTTTCAGCCCAGTTGTTTGGGGAAAAAGAGATGGTCAGACAGCAAACTTCTCATTTTGGTTTGCTTTGGTGTGGACTTTACGTCTTTGACAGTGAAGGTATAAAGTTGAGATAATCACATCTTGTGCCTTCCCTCTTATCTGTTAAATCAGCTGTCTTACCTGAGCATAGACTTAAGAGTGGATGTTAATATATTCTTTAATCTGTTCCAATATTTAAACGCTTATCAGAATTAGATGAATGCTCTGATTTCCCAAATCCTCTTTTCCTCCCTTCTTGAAGAGATGTAGGTATGTGTATCTTTTTCCAAATTGGAAAAAAACAGTGGAGAAAGTCATAGGAAACAGTTGCAGACTGAAGATAGCATGAGGAATCATCCAAAGCTTCCAGGAGTGAAGCTTTTGGTGTTGTTAGCTTCCCCCTGTCATCTGCAATATCGTCTTTGTGGCTCTGCTGCCTGGGCAAAAGATGGACCCTGTTCAAATAGCACATTCTCTACATGCTATCTGGCATACTGATTCACTGTCTGGAAATACCTGTGTTTTGTTTTGGCCTCTGGTCTCTGTCTCGCAGAGCCAAGTGGACTGATTTTATCAATTGCCACTTGGTTCCTGGTGCCCAAACAAAAGTAGCTTTGTGAGTTATGTGATACATAGGCCTAATCAAAACCTCCTTTCTCTCTCTCTCTCTCTCTCTCTCTCTCTCTCTCTCTCTTCATTTAGCTTGTTGTGTAAATGAATGCTTGAATACTCATTCAATGTTTTCATTCAGTTTTCACTTGGAAGATTAGAATATACTTCATACTAAAGCCCTTATGCCATCTCTTATTAGCTCTTTCCTTTTAAGATTCGATCCTGTTGTCGTCTTAGTCTTCCTGTTTACTTCTAGTGTATTTTTAGGATCTCTTTTTGGATTTTTGTGTCATTGAACAATCATTTGGTGCGTTAGCTTCTGTTTTTACACCACATTCTTTTTTTGGTGACATTTTAAGAACTACATATGTCACGGACTTGCATGCCGCATATAAAATATCACTGGTATGTATAAAGAGAGGAGAGTTTATAAAAGAGATCTTTAATCCTGCCCTCTAAAGTACGTAACGTCATCATAGCTTTATAAATTGAACTGCTGGGATGAAAAAAGGTGGCCCCAAGAGAAAACAACATAGGTACAATCTTAATTCTAGAATTCTGTCTCAATTGTTTCTTCCCTTCCTCTCCCTCACCCCCGATTGCTTCTTAATAGTAGATTGAATTTAAGTACCTGCAAACTAATATGTCACCCTTATTTTGTTTGGAAGGGTGACTTAGCTGCAAGAACTGAATTTCTCCAAGACCATAAGTCTTCAGACTAAGACACTTCAGACACTTCAGTTTGGTTCTAATACTTATACGTTTTTAATAACTACGTTCACAGGTAAAATACAAACTTACTGAGGATCATGAGACTGAGCTAAAGGGCGCCAGAGAAGAAGTCCAGAAAATAGAGAAGATGTATAAAGAAAAAGAGGAAAAATGGAAGTGTGAAAATGAGGACCAGAGAATCCAAACAGAAGAAAAGCTATCACTGTTGCGTATAGAGCTAGAAAACAAATCGGAATGTGAGAAGCAAAATTTGCAAAAGGAGTTTGAACTTCGTGAAACTGAAATGAATCAGCTTCAAGATCAGCAGGCTGCCAGAATTGTAGAATTAGAGAAATTGGTAAAAGAGCAGCAAAACAACTTGCGACAACTAGAGGACAGCCTTGCAAGTGCACAGGCTACACAGAAGTCTCAGGAGCAATACGACAGTGAACTGCAAGAAGCCAAAGCACTCATGGCAAAAGAAATGGAAAAAGCCACACTTTGTTTGCAAGAAGAATGTGCGTTTAAACTTATGGAAGCACAAAACAAGTAAGTCTTGTGTATTTGGGGTTTTTCACTTACTGGGAACGATCAGAGCTAATCTTTAGTTCAGTTACTGTTACTGCTGCTTTTTTATTTTAAGGTTAAGAAGTGGCAGTCATATAGGTTTGTCACTTGATGGCACCAGCTAACTTCTGAATGTAAAGCTCTTATTCTGCCGAGGAACAGTAATACTGTCCAGTAAGAGTTCCTGTAAAGATTTTACTTTATATAAATGCATTGAATTTAGTCTAGCAAATCAAACGAAACCTAGTCTGGTTCTACCTGTTACATGTGAAGAAGACGACAACGCAGCTGAAGATCCTGTGCTAGTGTTTGTGGAAAGGAAGTGTTTTCAAACAGCTTAAATGAATTTGAGCACTTTTTTTTTTTTTTTTCTTCCTCTGGTGAGTGAAGCTTTTGTTGTCCACTGAATGATGAGGTTGATGGGTCATATTCAGTATTCCATAGCAAATGAAATTCTGGTTAGAGATGCAAGTTGTAACTGCTCAGTTCTGTGTCCCTCCCCTTCCCTTCATTGATGTTAGCATATTAAAGCAAATCTTCAAACCAGCGTGTTTGTATTTGCATACATCATTTTAAACTTACTCCTTCTTCCCTCCCCAAACATATACTCATAGAAGATATTGGGGAGATAATTACAGCAAGAAAATGTTGAAAGCAGGAACTTAGCCCTTAAATAACCAATCACTTCTTAATTATTGACATCCCTGTCCAAAAATACTGTAGGTTATGATTACAGCAAATTGCATTATTTTATATACTGAATCTTCTGCATCAAGCCTTAAACAGACCTCATATAGCTGAGAGAGTTTGGAGGGCCGGAGGATCCCGCATATGCTTCCACCATGGTTTTATGTCTTGGTCTAAACTGCTTGTGTTTAGAGATTTTTGCTTCTGACAGCTTGTTTGCTTGCAGATAACATGTTCAAAATATAGATGGCTTGTATACTTTGTTACATACGATATTTATTATGTCCTACTTGCTCTCACATAGCAATATTTGGTCAAACTGTCTTTGAAATGGCACCTGAAATTCATCTTTTGGTTTTGGACATGTTGTCAGAGATGCTTTTTCCATCCACCCTATCAATGTGCTTTGAGCTAGAATGAGAGCTGCTCTGTATTAGTGAGCAATTCAATAGGAGTGCATGTCTACTTAGTAATAGTAACCAGAAATCAACAATTCCCGTCGCATAAGCCCTTAATTATGTGGCTATGAAATAATCTTTGCAATTTGCTTTGGATTAGTGCTGTATGTGAAACCTAGAAGTAAAATTTATGGAGGCTAAGTAAGGCCTGCTTCTTGATATTTCATTGTTTATTTATTTACCAGTGCCTGTTTTGACAACATTCTCTGAACTTTCTTGGAAATAATTTAGATTTATAGAGGAACACAAGGCTATGACTCAGAAATTCACAAGTGAGCAAGAGATTCTTCTCCAGGAGCTGAAGAAGAAACATGCTGATGAGCTCGAACTCCAAAGTCAGCAGTTACAGGAGAAGCATAAGCAGCAAATTTTGTCCCTTACAGCTGAGTTTCAGACAAAGCACCAAGCTGAACTTGAAACACTGAAATCTTCACTAGAAAGTAAACAGCAGGCTCAGCTTGAAGCTTTTGTTGCTGAACTCCAGACAAAGCATCAAGCACAAATTGATGAGCTGGAGGCTAAACACTTATCAAATCTGGATTCCTTGGAGTCTTCCTACCTATCTGAAATTCAGACTATAAGAGAAGAACACAAGCAGGCTCTTGTGGACCTACAGATGCATCACACAGAACAATTCCGTGAAAAGGATAAAACAGATCAAGCACGCTTGGTTCAGGAAATAGAGATGTTGAAATCAAAGCATGCTGAAGAACTTCAGCTTTCACAGAATAATTTGAAAATTGAGCTAGCTACTGTTCATATGGAGAAACTTAAAGCCATGGCTGTTGAAGCAGAAGAAGCTCATAAGGTGAGTCAAAAAGAGAACGTGGCATAGAAGGTGAGATGTGATGATACCTTCTCAAGCCTCCTTAAGTAGGAGAAGCTGTTGAAATGGGTGGAAATCCCCTTTTCCTTTCTTGCTCTTGGCGTGTGTTTCTTCAGCCTCCTTTGTGCCAACGCTAACGCTTGTGCGGCCATCTTATGAGCTGGGTTAGGAAACTAAAGCTGAAAATTAAGTTGAGTTTTCTAACCCAGTATGAGGAAAATGAGGAGTGAGGTCTTTACTGTTGGGGTGGGTGAAAAATGACCCCAGGACTTTTTCCAAGTCAAAGAGGTAGGAGGGCTTAGCTCATTGTTGGAACTTCAGGGCCCTCCAGAGGAAGAGATTTCCTGTTTTCTGATTGGTTTCCTCTCACCCTCCCCACTTCCTTAACAAGATTTGTTGCATTTTTGTGCCCACTAAGGCTAAGAAGAAAGTCTTGCAAAGGGTAAGAAGGGCATTTTTTTCCCTCACATCTTCACTAACTAGTTTTAAATCTGCATTTTAATTTTTCTTGAGTGTCTTCATACAGAAAAAACTGACTGTAAAAGACTTTTTGAAGATTGTGATGATGAGAAGCACTGTCGTGAATAAAGGAAAAAGTCGGGGGTTTACAGAACTATTACTACATAGGAAAAATGAACCCATTTCAAAGATGTGGCCTGTGTATATGTGTCCTTCATTCAGGAGACAATGTTAATGTTTACTTAATGAGTTTTAGTGAGCTTTTACAGCAGCCTGTTTACTTTATAAATAGGGTACAAAAAGTACTTGTCCTTATATTTTTTTTCTCTTGTTTTGTTTTTAAATTTTACTTAGGAGGATTTGAACACAGCTCTTCAAAATCAAAGAAGCTTGCTGGAAGAAGAAAAACGTCTGGCCCTGGACGCATTACGCGAGGAAGTATTGCATATGGAGGAAAAGCATAGAAAAGCACTCCAAGAACTTCAGGATCTTCATGAGGCAGAAATTAAGAAACATAAGGAAGAATATTCCAGGGAACTCCAAAGAGAATTGGAGAAACTAAAAGCACAGCATGAACGTGAGCAAGAGGTCAGAATGATGTTGATATCTAAACTTGAAATTAGCCACGTTTTAGAATAGAATAAATTCAGTTTTATTAAACCCAGAAATAAGGCTCTATGTCTAGATGCTGTTTGGCCTTTTTTATTGATGCCGGTAGATAAGAAGAGACAAGGTTAACATTTTTACGTCTGTCTATCTAAAAGGTTTTAAAAGAATTCATATATATTAATTACCCTTATATTTATTAATTTAAAATAGTGTTGGTAACGTTTCTATCTTTCAGAGAATTTTTCATTTTCTTTTGATTTCAGGTTATTTTTAATTCAAAATTTTAAAGCTTCCATTTTGATTAAAAATAAGCAGTTAATCATTTAGGTCATCAGCAATTTGTTGAAAGTAACTACTAACCTTAAGCTTGTGTAAGCGAACAACCTTTGCTAAGATTGATGTCGTCTTTTTTTCTTAGTGCAATTGTAGTAGCTAACGCTTTCCCAAATATATTTTCATAAGATTTGAAAGTCTTCCTTGTTGCCCTTAAAGCTTTATCATTTCTTCTTCTTGGGGATATGTATGTATAAGCTTGATGGTATTCACTTTTGTAGTGAATGGTAGGAAGTTAATCCTCTCAAATACGTTCTTTTTATTAATTAACATTGAAATGGAAAGAAATCTTTTCCTTTATTCTTTTAAACAACCCTATTGTGTTAATGTAAGCAGCTTCAATTAGTCAAGACATCTCTATTCTATAGTGTATATTACACTTGTTTGTTAGGAGAATTCACAAACTAAAAATGAGTTTTATCTAGCTATAAATGAACAACACAAATTCTGTTATAAAATAACTTATTTTTGCTTTTTTTGCTTACTAATTTGAAGAATTGCATAATATGCCAAATAACTCCCTAATCACTAGTGCGCTTTTGTAATAACTTTGTGCACCTTACGAAAGTATTTAGCTTTGAGGAGATCCCTGTGTTCTTTGGGATTATCAGTCTTTAGAGCTGGTAGTGATTTCCAGCTAGCCGGAAAGAATTACAATCTATCTTTTATTTTGGAAGAAAAACTTAAAAAAAAAAAATTATTTTCCCCTTTAGTGGTAAGTCCTCTTGATTATTAGTGGTTTTTTTTTTTTTTTAAGCTCTTGATCCTAGAAACAGGATTTCTCTTGAAAATTCCAGTGACTGCAATTATTCTCGTTAGCGAGATTAATGGAAGAAACCCTTTCCATGATATTTTTTGGTGCAATTTCTTGTTTGAGATATGGTTAATCATTGAATAATTGCATTACATATAGCCACCTAATGACTAATAGTATTTCTAGGAAGATAGATCTAACTTTGAGATATGCTCTCTTGTGTTTTCCACCTTTTTTTCCTTTTTACTTTGAGTTTCTCTTAGATGAATATCTGTTGGAAGAAATAAGTAAGGAATACTCCACTAGTCTGACCTGAAGGTCTCCAGATTACTCAGCAATTAATACAGGAGATGTTTGGTATCTAATACCTTCTTCTATGCTTCCTACCTATTTTTACCAACTTGCATTCTTATAGTCAACATGATGAAAAATGACAGCTCTGTTAGCTGTAAGAATTGCAGAGAACTGTTGTGAAAGTACTGGAAGAGTTTGGCTGGACTTGTTTTTTTTATTTTTTTTCCTTTTTGTATTGTAACACTGTAGCTAAAATATTTTATATTATTTACTGCAGATGTATGCTTCTGCATCGGCATCTGAAGTAGAGACTGTGCGGACAGCTCTTCTGGCTCAGTTTGAGGAGGTAAAGTTGAAGCAGCAGCTTCAGTTCCAGGAAGAGATTGAGCTGCTGAAGTGTCAGTCAGAGGTACTACTTGAACAGCAAATTGCACAGCTAAAGGTGGGTCTAACTAAAATGAACTTCAAAGCATGCATTTTTCTGAAAATGAACAATTAATATCCATTTTTGTTCTTTGGCTGTATGACTTGAAAAAGACAACTGTTAATGTTGCAACTAGAAAAGCAGTATTAAAAACATAATGCACTGTATTGTAAGATGCTACTGTATTCACCACAGCTATATCTTAAAATCCTGAATGGAATGTGAGATGGTGTCCTCTAAACAAACAAAACAAACAAACAAAAAAGTACGTGCTCTGAGTCATAGTCCTTGTGTGCGCTTATGTTCTGTTTGTCACTTGAAACTTGATTTTCTTTTTTGTGTCTGCAGAGACTACGATCTTGACCCATCAGCCCAATGTTATATAAGCTTTTCTTGAGTGTGTGATGAGTGTGAAGACTTTTGGTATAAGATTTTTGTCAGTTATTCTTAACTTCTGCTTTCCTGGGTTCATTGCTGAGTTCCACACTTTTGTCTTGATGAGCATCTTCAAGATGCTTATCCCTGAAAATGATCTCTTTGGTCTCGCGTGCAGTGCAGTAACTGCATGTTATCTTCTCAGCCTTGTGCAAAATGCCTTCGTTGCTTAGGTGGCGAGCACATCTCCAGCTATTGAATGAGTGGAGAAGATGCCTTCCGTGTAAGAGATACGGAAACCCACCAACACAATGAGAGCAGTACTGATACTCACCTCAGTGTTATCGCTGCGTTGAAGGTCCAAAGTACCTTTGATCAGATGAATTACCATCTCCCTGTTTGCTTCTCCTTGGGAAGTCTCAACAGATCCTTACTGTTCCTGTTAATGCTGCAAATTGAAATAGGCTTCTTCCTGGCAGATGCATGATCCTTTAGAATTAGATGCTGCAAATGTGCAGAAAACTTCTCTCATTTCCTGCCTTTGGCCCACTGTGGTGCGCTGGCACTCGGATTCATTATTTGACCTTTTCCTGTCTGGTGGCACTATCCATTGAAAGAGAGGACAGACATATATCCCGAAAAGCTGCTGCTGGGATATGGCATTGCTGTTCTCACCCCAGGGGCATCAGAACCCTGGCCTCCATCCCACAGAAATTGGCGCTGGTTTCCATACACCTTAGGCTGACGTGTATGCATATACCCAGAAGGGATTCATGCTTTTCTTTCTCTTCTGCTGCCTAGGCTCTTTAGTTACCGAGCAGTATTTCGGGCAGCAGAAACCCCTCTTTTTCTTGAAATTCTGCCAGGAGTAATTCTGTTGCTGGCGCAGCCACCTCTGTTTTTCTGCTCTTTACCTTGATGACCAGTGACCACATGACCACTCTTTTGATCCCCAAAGAGGGTGACTAGATCTCTCCGCAGTGTCAGGCTGAGCTACCTCAGTATCTGATACAGGTTTTTAAAAGGACCCTCCCACCGCTGCTCACTTACGACACCATGCTGGTACCAGCCAGAGTTTCCTTCCTTTCTCCCCCCCCCGCAGAAAAATTGACAGAAAGTACCAGAATTTAGGTGTTCCGAGTTCCTTTATACCTAGTCTGACATCCTCTCATATTGGAAACTCTGCTTCTGAGAAGGACAGGCAGACTATTTCAGAGACTCTGACCACCGGTGACTGTACTGGTTAGGGAAAACACTTGTGCTGCTTTGCCTCTGTTCATTTGTAGCTTGCTCCCGGGCACTCCTGAGTATAACATCCCGGATGGACTTGGCTCTTCTGACTTGCTCTGCCTTGCAGATTCTGGGATGTTTTTTGTATTGTTATAGCCTAAATGCCAACGCCGGTCTTGCAGGCAAAATATAGATAAGGCAGAAATAGCTTCAAAAGCCATTGCCTTGGCTGTGTTGGCAAACCTCATGGTCTCATTAAGCGGCTGAGGAGCTGAGGGGTCGATGGCCTGCACTGCTTAGTGCAAGCTTTGGCCAAGTCCTCCATGAAGGATCCAGGACAGCTCAGGTGACTGCGTATGTCTTGTTCCTGTACTCACTTCCTCAGAGTGGATGCTCAGAAACCATATTTCATGCCCTGGGCAAAACCTACTTTCTTTGCTCACCGATAAAAAGCATGGGATCTTTCAGTCCTGAGCGTGTAGGTGTTCCCAGATCAACTTGCGCATACACTTTACAGTGTGGTCAAGATGCTCAGGATTGGAGGATGAGAGGATCATTACAGGTGCAATTAGTTACCAGGATTTCTTTTAGCCTCTCTGAAGGGATCTCAGGGCCTTGTTTCACCTCCCTTACTTGCTGATGCTGGAATCTGGGATGTTTGATAGCGCCTTCCTTTAGAGCACATCTGTTCCCCTGAGGTACGTGAGGTCCAACTTAATAGCTTCTCGATCACTTAGCAATGTAAATATACCTTGTGGATTTTTGATTTGTTCTTGTAAATCACTCGTCCCGCATGGAACTCAGCGCTATACGCGTAACATAACTCGCGGTCACTCAAAGTGGCTTCTCGCTCTCTCTGTTTCTCTCTCAGCAATTAGACTTATTCAGCTGTTCTTTCAGCTCCTCATCGCCATTCCAGAAACTTGAAATTATGCAGATCTCAGTGAGCACATTGAGATAATGTGTTTACCTATTTAGCTACTCTTAAAACATAGTTTTGGCATAATTTTCTTCATTTGAGAGCTTAGATTGTAAGTTACTGCTAGTTGATCTGAGCGCTAAAATGCACGCATTTATTTAAAAAACGGGGAGGGGCTTTCTTTCAGAGGGGTTGTTTTTTTGTTGTAAAGAATTTATAATCCAAAGTATGTCACTTATGCAGGAGGAATTTGAAGCTGAAAAAAAGACTTCACTACATGACAAGGAGCAGGTGTTGATTCAGGAGAGGGAAAAGGCACAGGCTGTTCACGAAAAGGAGAAGGAGATGTTATCGGTACAGCTTCAGGAAAAGGCAGCTATAATTATCCAGGTTTGTGGCAAATACTTAAACCTAGATTTTAACTGTTCCGTGGTTGTATTTTAACACCACACTTTCACCTTTCTCAAGATGCATGTGGAAGGACTGTGTGTATAAACTCCAGGTGACTGCTGTTTGGCAAGGTGTCATGTATCATGTTTGCTAGCTGGAGTGCCATGGCAGTAACATGGAAATTGAAACTTGGCAGTAGCTTGAGATTACCTTAAGCTCTTCAGAGCTCTTCAGCCGTTTTTTGGGGAGATTACCACTGCTTTGGAAGGAAAGGCTGGATATTTTGCTTTCAGTTGTCTGTGTATTGATGCCATCTGTATCTGTCCAAAGAAAGCTTTGTAGAAAAAAGTGCTCTAGCTTTTTAGACCAACTGACCTGCAGCTGGAGGGGAAGGGGTGGGCATACTGTTCTGTTAGGCTTTTATGTTTAGTGGGAAAACTAGGAGGTGGTAGGAGTAACACTGAGAATTTCTCCTACTGGAATAAACTCATTGTTGTTTCCTGCTGTTCGTGCAGGGTTTAATGAGTAGTGAGAAAGTTGACGGGAACAGAATGCTTTTCTTTTCTTGCCCTTCCTTTCCAAATAGGTATTTTGACTCATTTGTTGGCTTGATTTTGAGACCAAGTTTGTTGCTATAGTACTGGTTTGTTGGGTAGCGTGTAGTACCAAGTGTAACACTGCTGCTGGATAATATCTCGATTAGCGAACTCTGGCAGGGATGGGGGATGAATATTCCTTTTTTAAATGGGATAGAGGTGTCATCAAAACACAAATAGGAGGAGAGAAAATATTTTTCTAGATGTTTTCTAGAACTTGTTTTCTGGCATAGAATATAAAGGAAAGAAGAAAACTGTCAGAGACTGATCCTGAATCAGGTTGCAGTTCAGGTTTGTGTGCTTCACTGTCAAAATTTATGCCAAGCTATTGCTTTATGTCTTTGCTTTTCGTTTGCTTTCGTTGTCACACCGGAGTTTGAGGTGTGAACGTGAAGTTTTTGTAACCTTTTTGCATTATTTGTATGCACTGAGTCTGAATGCAGGTGAAGCAGCTTCTTTAAGCAAAATCTACGTCAGCAAAGGAGAAGCAAAATAACAACCATTCATTTTTAGCCTTTCTGCTGTCCTTCATTTCCAGTCGTTTTGGAAGCAAATTTGCATAGCAACTGCTGAAGAGACGATGATTGAATATACAGAAAGTGGTGAAGAGTAAGATCATTGAGTGAAGTTCAGAGTTCAGGCAAATTGATTGGCTTTCTGTCTCTTGCATCATTACTCTATTTTCCACAGCTGGAAAAGAAAGTAGAGTCTTTAAATCATGAAATGGAAGAGACTAACTCTGAACTGGAGACCCTCCTTCAGCGGCGAGATAGAGAGAACCAAGAAGGAGGAAATTTGGTAGCCATGTTGAGATCTGATATCAATCAGTCCCAGGATGAAAGGTTTGTACATCTTAGGATATATAATGCTTAGTGTTTTTTGTCTGGCTTCTTATAAATAAATCAACAACAAAGTGCAATTAGGCCAGCTCAAACGGAAAGTGTAAGATGATGATAATACTGGCAAGTGTGCTATACTTGCAAGTGTGTCTGAGTTTTGTTAGTACTAACTTAACTTGATATAGAGAGAGAATTTTTTTCCTATTCCATTTTCAGTGTGGACTGATGGAAATTTTGGTGTTTTGGGGTTTCTACTGTTTATAATCTGAGCAAAGGCTAGGAAATTAAGAAAACCTCTTGATCCTAGAAACTTTTCAGTGCAATGTAAATCAGGTTGATTTGTCCTTGGAATGTGTGAATTAGAGGAAAAGCTGTCATGCTGAATAAGATTTTAGAAAAATTTCCCTTCTCACCTTTAAGAAACTGTCTTACTGTTTACTGGCATTTCCAGGACTCAGTAGTACTTCCTCTGCGTGGTTTGGTTTGCTTTAGAATATTAAAGTATAAAAGATGGCTAGTTCTTGGATCTTCTGTACCTGCCTCAAGTATTTCTGAGTTTGCTCAAACCTTCACAAGAGTGACTGTAGCAGGAATTGTGTAATATCACACACTTCAGAAGTAATATTAGTGTTTTCTTAAAACTAAGATGACCCCATGAATATAACTTTCATTGTCCACTGTGTCAAAACATCCCTAGCTATGCTGATGTTAAAGATAATACAGTAATAGACATGTTCTCCCTACTGGCACTTCGATAGATATGGAAGCCTGAGATGCTTGTGACTGCAGTATGATTCCTCCATCACCTGTGGAGAAGGCAAAGGCTTTTGCCAAACCTGCCCGTCGAAAAATGGCCATATATTTTTGTGAATCATCTGAATTATCTTCACTGATAATTGTCAAACTACTGCAAGATCCCATTTTAGACTGTTAGTTTCTCAGTGCGTTCCAAGTGTCTTTAAATTGAGTGCGTGCAATTTTGCAATGTCTGTGCTTTCATTTTAGGAAAAAGTTACAGGAATCTTACCAACATGTTTTGAAATTGCTTATGGAGCTGGTGAAGGCCACAATAGCTATTGAGGATCTTATCTGTAGAAAGATTGGTCTTTGTCTTGATGACAGTCTGACTTCTGGAGATTCTAGGGAAAGTCACAGTGTTATGGAAGAAATAGGATTCATACAGTATTTCAAAGCCAAAGAGAAGCATCACTTAGAAAAAGGTAAGTACAAATCTGTTGGGTGCAGTTACATAATATTCTTGAAAATGCTTTTTCATTTCATTTCATATTATGCAGAGGAGGTTTCACATTTCTTATGACTATTCAATATTTCATATCAGAGGGAGGAGGTTCTAAACAGGCGTATCTCCTGTTGCAGCCTTTTCTATGTCTGTTTCAAAGTTTCTCCACACTTAACTTTGTGTCCATCAGTATTCTCTCATTTTAATCCTTGTAGTAGCAAAAATACTAAACTGTGTCTGGGAAAGGCTGAATAGATCATAGGGGTTTGGGGGAGGGGGGTTTATTTTTTTGTTTTAGGATGGGATGTATTAGCCTCAGGTAGATAAATCTGGGGTCGTGTATTGTTTTCAGGGGTCTCAACCATGTTTCACAGCTTACACAATATTCCTCAACATAGTGAAGGAGGAGAGTGTTGGTTTGTAAACATCTAAGCCATTCATCATTGACAATTTTTCACCTTTTAATACTTACTTAAGACCAAGCAGTGTTTCTGATGTCAGTCAGTGGTCAGTTTTGTGTCATTTTTCTGCATGTTTTTGATAGATGAGCTGCCTGATGAAACTCTCACAGAACACAACCAGCTGTCTCCAGTGACTGATGAGGGGTCTGAGCTGAGCCAATACTTATGTGAAAGCATTTTTGCAAACCCAGACCTGACCTGTGAAAATGAAGAAACGATACTGAAAATTTGTCATCGCTTGCGCACTGCAGTGGAAAGACTTCTAGAACTAGTAACAGAATCAACTAAACAAGTAAAATAATGCTTTTTCTATAGAGATGTAATATTACTCTAAACACGTAAAATCTGTTTTAAGGTTTGATGTATTTAGCACCTTGTGCTATTGGCTACTTGGAGGAGAAATATTTTCTCCGAATATAAGACAAGTTATCTGTACAGAGAAGCATGTGCATCTCTGCTTCTCGGAATGCTCCTTGTAAGTGCGACTTCAATAACTTTTTTATCCTAAAGGCAGATCCTGTAGGAAGAAGAAAAATTTGCCTTATTTAATCAAATTTAAACTAGGATTTTAGATGCATGCTTGGCAAGACTCCCAGATCCTTCCCTGCAGTTCTGCTCTTGAGCTCGTTGGCCCGCAGCCTGTACTGGTGCCAGGAGTTCTTCCTCCCCGGAGGCAGGACTTCCCTTTGAACAGGTTCCTCTCTGCCCATTTCACCAGCCCATCGAGGTCCCTCCGAATGGCTGCACAACCACCTTGTATTTTGGCCGCTCCTCCCAGTTTTGTATAACCCACAAACTTGCTGAGGGTGCACTCCGTCCCTTCGTTTAGGTCATTGATGAAGACGCTGAACAAGACTGACCCCAGTATCGATCCCTGGGGGACACCAGTACTGTGATGGCCACTTAGGGCCACTGATCATGACCCTCTGAGCCCAGCAGGTCAGCCAGTTTTCCATCAAGCAAGATAAACAACATTCACTGCTCTCCCCTCATCCACCAAGCCAGTCGTGGAAGGCTAGCAGGATGGTTAAGCGTGACTTCCCTTTTGTGAATCCATGTTGACTGCTCCTGATCACCTTCTTGTCCTTCATGTGCCTGGAAATGGTAGCCAGGATTACTTACTTCCTCACCTTCCCAGGGATCAAGGTGAAGCTGACTGGCCTGGAGTTCCCTGGTTCTTCCTTCCTGCCCTTCTGGAAGATAGGAGTGACATTTACTTTTTTTCAGTCCTTAGACACCTCTCCTGATCGCCATGACCTTTCAAAGATATCAAGAATGACGTTGCAATGACATTGGCCAGCTCCCTCAGCACTCGGGTGCATCCCATCAGGGCCCATGGACTTGTGTGTGCCCAGTTTATTTAAGTGGTCCCTGACCTGATCCTCCTCCACCAAAGGAAAGTCTTCCTTGCTCCAGACTTTCCCCTTGGTTTCCAGGGCCTGGAATTCCTGAAGGCCGGTCTTACTGGGAAGGACTGAGGCGAAGAAGGTATTCAGTACCTCAGCCTTTTTGGTGCCCTTTGTCACCAGGGCCCCCACGTAGCAGCAGGCCCACAAGTTTTAAAAGCCCTCTAATCAACATGGCGATGTGCCCTTATGCTGGTGATTTTCAGTCTGCAGATACTTTAGTGACAGCATATTTCAAGTTTTGAATTAAATTAAGGATATTTTCCTATAAACTAATCTTGTTTTGCTGTATTGTACCTCTTTTATCACTTGGAATCGCTTCGGTCAGAGTGGAACGAGGCACAGATTTTATAACAAAGTGTTTTTGAGAGGCTGTTTTTTAATCACACTTCAGAGCAAAGCTTCTTCAAAATTAATAAGCAGATTCAAGAAAACTCAGTCCCCTGTTAAAATGTTCAGTACATGTAGAGAGCAGCAAGCAAATATCTTTGTAATTATTTTTGTCCTACTTAATTGTAGTAGAAGGATCTGGACTCAACATCATAAAATAATTTGAGTATTTCCATACTGAGTTTGCAGTGTCTAGACATCTCGGCTTTGGGCAAAGAAGTCATAAATCTGAGGTAGATGCCCAAGTCCTATACACATTTAGTGTATTGAATTCAGTGCTACAGTAATTAGGTTGTTGAGTAAGGAAGCCCCTAATTTAAGAGAAAATATAAAGGAAAGGAATCTTGAATTCCTCTTCTCTTTAAGTACCTTGTGCAACCCTGAGGTGAGAACCTACATGAAACTTACATTCATCATCTTTAAAAATCCATCCTAGACCTAGGTGCTTAAATTGTACTTCTGAGTACTGATGTTCCTTCCAGTAACATGTAGCCGTTGTGTGGCTAAAGTACTTGCCCGAGCCTTGGTAGATCTGGATTCTGGCCCGCCTTCATTAGCTGTGTTCAAGCATACTTTGCTCACCTCTGTGAAATGTCCTATCCCCCAGGATAAGCTAAATGTAAGCTACATGGGAACGTGGTTGCTGTATTCTTCTTTGAAATCTAAAAACATCGTACGTAGGAATGCAAGATATGTAGGTTCAGATATAGAAGTGGTGCCGTACTTGGAAACCTGATGGCACGTTTACTTTGCTGTTTATTTGACATGCTTGAGTCCCTTTAGGAAAGTAAGTTCAAGGATGCCTAGATTTTGAAATTCAAGTGGTTCAGGAAATGTCAGGTTGAGCAGCTCAGCCAATAGGGAAGTATCTCTTATTGTGCACAGTAAAGAAACTTATGTGCCTAAGGAAGATCTGCGGTGAAAATGTACGTATCTGAGTACCAGGAGTCACCACAGTGCCTAGGGGTCTGGGGCAAAATCAGCCTAGTGCTGAAATAAAACGTCACAATCTGGACCTTAATGCTAACAAAAGTTAGGAGTAAGATTTTTGTTTATGTGCTTGTAGTACTGTTACACTATATATGTATGCAGGAACTGATCCTGGGGGGATTGTTTTCTTTTAGCTGGAAAAAACACATGAAATCCATGCACAATTTGAAGAAGAATTCAGTCGCCGAAATCGGGAAACCGCCCAAGTGGTTTGTCAGCACCAGGAACTAATGGAGTGCCTCAGTGAGGAAAGTGAGGCCAAGAATCAGCTGGCACTTAAGCTTCATAAAGCAGAAGGTAAGAAAATGAAGTCCGTATGAAGAGATACCAGCATTATTTACTCATAACACATTCCTCCAAATATCTAAAAGACAGACATACAATATGAGAGGGTGTTGTGCTTTTTGCTGTTGTTGACTTGCCTGTCTAATCCATCTTTTTGCATTTCATATTCCTACGTTACCTGAAGCATGGATCTTCTCTCTTGCAAATCTACTACTTATTTCCCTTCATCAGAATTGTGTTTACCTGAGGCAAGCCTGATAGTGTTTATTCCTATACTTAAACTAGTGTCTGTGTGTGAAAAA